TCCCCCCACCCCCCCCCCCACCCCCCCCCCCCCCCTTCCCCCCCCCCCCCCCCCCCCCCCCCCCCCCCCCCCCCCCCCACCCCCCCCCCCCCCCCCCCCCCCCCCCCCCCACCCCCCCCCCCCCCCCCCCCCCCCCCCCCCCCCCCCCCCCACCCCCCCCCCCCCCCCCCCCCCCCCCCCCCCCCCCCCCCCCCCCCCCCCCCCCCCCCCCCCCCCCCCCCCCCCCCCCCCCCCCCCCCGCCCCCCCCCCCCACCCCCCCCCCCCCCCCCCCCCCCCCCCCCCCCCCCACCCCCACCCCCCCCCCCCCCCCCCCCCCCCCCCCCCCCCCCCCCCCACCCCCCCCCCCCCCCCCCCCCCCCCCCCCCCCCCCCCCCACCCCCCCCCCCCCCCCCCCCCCCCCCCCCCCCCCCCCCCCCCCCCCCCCCCCCCCCCCCCCCCCCCCCCCCCCCCCCCCCCCCCCCCCCCCCCCCCCCCCCCCCCCCCCCCCCCCCCCCACCCCCCCCCCCCCCCCCCCCCCCCCCCCCCCCCCCCCCCCCCATCACACCCCCCCCCCCCCCCCCCCCCCCCCCCCCCCCCCCCCCCCCCCCCCCCCCCCCCCCCCCCCCCCCCCCCTCTATTTCCCTCCCCCATGCCCATCCCTGCCCACATGACGCTCCCACCCTCAGCGGAGGCGCAAGGTCGTGCCCAAGGGCTCAAGAGACGCGCCCTTTGTTGAGCCTTGACCCTCCCCCTTGCCCATCCCTTCCCTTTCCCCCCTGCCCATCCCTCCCCCCATGACTCTCTCTCTCTCCCCTCAGCGGAGGCGCAAGGTCGTGCCCAAGGGCTCAAGAGACGCCTCTTTGTTTTAGTCGCCTCAAACAAGGCCTTGATCGCCCTCCACCCCGCCCCACCCTTTCTTCCCCCCCCCTCTCCCACCCTCAGCGGAGGCGCAAGGTCGTCCCCAAGGGCTCAAGAGACGCCTCTCCCGATTCGCCAAACGCAGGTGCATGTCTGTAGGGGGTGGAGTGGAGAGGGGGAGGTGGGTGGGGGGAGGGTGAGCGGAGGATTGGGCTAGCATGAGGGGAGTGCAGGCGTAGGGTGGGTGGGGGGGAGGGCTGGGGAGGGTGGGGAGTAGGGCTGGGGAGGGTGGGGGGGAGGGCTGGGGAGGGTGGGGAGTAGGGCTGGGGAGGGTGGGGGGGAGGGCTGGGGAGGGTGCGGGGGAGGTTGGGCTGCAGCATCTCAACATGAGAGAAAAGCAGGGAGTTGCTGTTTCTCCTCCTCACCCCAGCCCCTCCCTCGCCCTTCCCTGCGTCCCATGCATGCAGGAGTGCCACAGGGGCGGGGCCGCCTCTCCATCACAGACAGCTCAGAGGATGATAGGGGCATGGCACGCTCTGCTGCTGCTGCTGACTCTTCTCCTGAAACTAGCCCCACCCACCCTCGCCCCTTCCCTGCCGTCCCATGCGTGCAGGAGTGCCACAGGGGCGGGGGCGCCTCTCCATCACAGACAGCTCAGAGGATGATAGAGGCATGGCGCGCGCCGCTGCTGCTTCCCAGCAGCAGATGCGGCTTCAGCAGCAACAGCAGCAGTTTCAGCAGCAGCAGCAGCAGCAGCAGCAGCAGCAGCAGCAGCAGCAGCAGCAAAGACAGGGGAGACAACAGCAGCAGCAGCAGCAGCAGCAGCAGGAGCAAGGGCAAGGGGGTAACCAGCAGAGCAGGAGGCCACCGGCCGGGTCGGGAGCAGGGGGAGGGGCAGGTGGGGGTTCAGGTGCTGGCGATAGGGGAGCTGGAGGTGGAGGTCCGGCGGCTGGAGGGCCGGCGGCAGGTTCGGCAGGAGGTTCGGGGCAGGAGGTAGAGCTGCTGCATCAAGTCACGTGGTCTCCAGAACCTGGGCAGGGTCGGCGGTCTCCCATGGCTAGCTCTCTGACTCGGGCGGGGTCTATGGGGGCTGCTATCAAAGGGAAGCCTACAGTTCTGGAAGAAACGGATGGTGAGCGGTGCTGAGTGGTGCAGGGTGGTGATGAATGGTGCACGTGTTTGGTAGGTAATGGTGGATGCTGGTTGAGGGGTTATGTGATGGTGTGAGAGTGATGGATGGCTGGATATATAGATGGGCGGACGGACATATAAATGCTTAGCTCCGTGCGTTTTTTAAGCTTCGAATTACGACATGCCTTTACCTAATGTCCCACTTGTCTTGTCTCATGCACCCGTCCCTGTGTTCCCCTTATCTAGCAGAGGAGTGGGAAACGTCTGACGACGAAACAGGCACCAGACCCCCTTCGTCCGCTTCTGCTGCTGCCGCTGCTGCATCAGCATCAGCACCAGGTGCAGCAGCAGCATCTGGAATCCCAGCCTCCCAATCCCCCGGTGGTGTGCCTATTGCTGCTGGGGCCGGGGGGCAGGGAGCAGGCGCAGGGGCAGGGGGGGGAGGGGGAGGGGGAATAGGGGAGGGTGGGGGTGGTGGTAGAGGGGGCGGCAGAGGAGGGGCAGAGGGTTACCACCAACAGCAGCAACAGCAGCAGCAGAAGCATGGGATGGTGCCTCGGAGGTCCGGAGGAGTGCCGAACCAGAACCAGGAGGTTCGGCGAGGAGGAGGAGCGGCAGGGGGTGGTGGGGAGGGTGGGGCAGGGGGGAAGCAGGCAGCAGCAGAAGACCAGGGAGTTCCGATAGGGGGGAGGGGAAGTGGGGGGAGGAGGAGCGGGAGCGGTGGGAGCAGGCGTGAGTGGTGTGGGGGTTGCTGTGAAAGGGGGAGCAGAGGGGAGGGAGGGCAGGGAGGGGAGGGAGAGGAGGGAAGAGCGAGGAGAAGGAGTGGGGGGAAGGCAGGAGGGGGAGGGGAAGGAGAGGCGGAGGTCTTTGGAGGGGCGGGGGAGTGGCACGGGGGGGGGAGAGGGCGGGGGAGAGATCTGCAGAGAGGGGGGATCCGAGGGATGGGCGGGGGGGAGAGGGGGCAGGGAGAGGAGGGCCAAAGAGAACGAGCAGCACAGATGCCCAGGGGGGAGTGGGTAACAGTCAGGGAAGCAGTCAGGGCATGCAGGGTTACTCAAGGGGAGGAGCGGGTGATGCGAGTCAAGATGCACAGCAGAGAGGTGAGTGATGCACCAAGGATGATTTTAGGCGCCTCAAAACCGCCGCGTGGACTGAGATGATTTTTGAGGCGCCTCAAAAGATGCCCAGCAGCAGAGAGGTGCGTGATGCACAAAGGAAGCGTTAGGGCAGCTAGTGTAGGTAGCTATGGCGTGTGAGTGAGTGAGCCAAGGGTTATTAGTGTGCGTGTGAGTGTGAGTGTGATGTGATGGATGTAGAAACATACCATCCTCCCACCATGCCGTCTCTCCCCCTTGCCCTCTCTGCCCATTCCATCCCCACTCTCACACCATCGATTCCCTCCCTGCCTCCACATCCCCCATCATCTGCCCAACCCCCCTCACTCTCCCTCCCTTCCCCGGCCTTGTTTCAGGTGCCCGGGCAACACAGTCCGCTGCAGGCTTTTGAGACGTCTCAAAAGTTGCCCAACCCCCTCTCCCTCCCTCCCTTCCCCGGCCTTGTTTCAGGTGCCCGGGCAACACAGTCCGCTGCAGGCATAGCCAGACAGGTGCGTCCTGCAGGCTGGAAGGTGCCTTGAACTTGCAGGTGCGTCCGGCAGGCTGGAAGGTGCCTTGAACTTGCAGGTGCGTCCTGCAGGCTGGAAGGTGCCTTGAACTTGCAGGTGCGTCCGGCAGGCTGGAAGGTGCCTTGAACTTGCAGGTGCGTCCTGCAGGCTGGAAGGTGAGAATTCTCAAAAGCACACCGGGCAACACAGTCCGCTGCAGGCATAGCCAGACAGGTGCGTGCTACAAGGAAGGAACACAGCCTTACGCAGCAGGCAGGCAGGTTGTTGTGTCAGCCATTGCACTGCCCCCGTGGCTTGTCCTTGCCCAGTCCTTCTTCCTGTAAGGCTTTTGAGACTCCCGTCCTGTAGGGACGCCTCAAAACTCCTCAAAACTTGAGACATTCTAAAGCCTTGAACGGCAGGCTGGCTGGCTGTGCCAGTTGTTGCGAGAGAGGGTCTTATTCTCTTCTTTCCTCTCTCTCTACCCCCACCTCCCAGGGCTCTTGGGCCAAACCAGCAGAGGAAGCAAAGCAGCAGCAGCAGCAGGGAAGGGGCGCTGCAGCAGCAGCAGCAGCTGCTGGTGCTGCTGGTGGTGCTGCGGGCGCTGGTTCTGCTGCTGGGGCCGGTGTGGCTGGGGCAGGCGTTTCTGGTGCAGGTGGTGGTGGTGGTGGTGCAGGTGGTGCTGCTGGTGGTGCTCGCAAGGCGTCTGGGCTGGCTGATGGGCGGCTTGCAGGGGGGGCGCAAGGGGGAGGCGCAGTGCAAGGGACGGTGCAGGCGGGTGGATCTGGTGGTTTACTGGCGGCTGCAGCAGTGGAGAGACAGAAGCGGGAAGGAGAGGAGGCGGCGGGTAAAGGAGGGCCAGCTAAGGTGGGTGTGGCGGGTGGGAGGTGGATGGAGCGAGGGGGGAGAGTAGGAGGGCGAGATGGCGTTCTCCACCAAATGAGATACTTTTGACTACTTCTTTTGTTGTTCTTGACTGCCTCTTTTGTTGTTCTCCTCGCTGCTCACCTCACCTCTCCACGCTTTATTACTGCCGCCCGTAACCCTCCGTCTCCCCTGCCTCTCACCCCCTGTGTGCTGGCAGGAGCGTGAGCCTCTTGGTCCGGAGCCCAAGGATAAAGACGCTGATGCTGAGGTATGGAGGAGTGTGGCTGGTTATGGAGTGGTGTCAGGGGGTATGGCTGTGGGTAGGTTCGTGTGGAGCAGGGAATATGTGGGAGCGTGGGCATAGCTCGGTTAGAAACAAAACAGAGGCGTGCCATGACCCGCCCTGACCCGCCCTGATTTTCTTGCCCTGTCTCCTCCCCTCTCCGCCCATTCTTCAGGGGACGTCGAAGTGACTCGCCTAAGTGAGGCAGCAGCAGCACAGACTATCTCGCCTAAGTGACTTGCCCTGTCTCCTCCCCTTCCCAACTATCTCGTCTTGTCTCTCCCTCCCCCCCCTTCAGGACGATGAGGTGACTCGCTTAAGGGAGGCAGCAGCAGCGGCACAGAGGCGCATAGCACGGTACGAGGCGGAGTGTGACTCATCGTCCTGTCTCTCCCTTACTCTCTCGCCCTGTCTTCCCCTCCCATTGAGATACTACAGGATGACGAGGTAACACGCCTTCGCGAGGCAGCAGCAGCAGCACAGAGGCGAATAGCACGGTACGAGGCGGAGTGTGACGGGCGGCTGGCAAAGCTCAAGGCGGAGAGGGAGGCGCTGGTGAGGCGCAGAGAGGCGGAGATCACCCGGCTAGCCGAGCAGCTGGGCACGGTGAGTGCTGCAACGTGCAACTGCTTCCGATGCTTGCTGATATATCGCCCCTGTCCTGTCCATCCAACCAGCCCAGCCCAGCCCGTATGACGCCTGTTTGATTAGACTCAATCATCGGCCCTTCCCCTGCCACACACCCTCCCGCCCTCCCAACCAGCCCTTTGATGCGGGAGCTCTCACCCAAGCTCGCAGCGTGGCAGTGGACGAGGGGAGAGCGCTCATCACACGGAGAGAGAGACGACTTTTGAGTCGACTCAAAAGTCACCCCGTAGTGTAGCAGTGGACGAGGGGAGGGCGCTCATCACACGGGAGAGAGGCGCAGCCGTGGCAGCAGGCAAGGAGGAGGTGGAGCGGGAGAGGCAGCGAGGCCTCCGAAGCTTTTGTGACTTGATTATCAACACTTTCCATTTCCATTCGCACGCCCCTTTCCTTCCCCACCCTCGTCCCCTTCCCAATCAGCCCTTTGATGCGGGAGCTCTCACCCAAGCCCGTAGTGTGGCAGTGGATGAAGGAAGGGCGCTCATCACACAGGGAACGTGATGCAGCGGTAGCATCAGCCCAAGGAGGAGGTGGAGCGGGAGAGGCAGCGAGGCAGTGAGGCAGTGAGGCTTATATGTATCAACCCCCTTGTCTTGCCCCTCCCAACCAGCCCTTCGATGCGGGAGCTCTCACCCAAGCCCGTAGTGTGGCAGTGGACGAGGGGAGGGCGCTCATCACACGGGAACGTGATGCAGCGGTAGCATCAGCCAAGGAGGAGGTGGAGCGGGAGAGGCAGCGAGGCAGTGAGGCAGTGAGGCTTATATGTATCAACCCCCTTGTCTTGCCCCTCCCAACCAGCCCTTCGATGCGGGAGCTCTCACCCAAGCCCGTAGTGTGGCAGTGGACGAGGGGAGGGCGCTCATCACACGGGAACGTGATGCAGCGGTAGCATCAGCCAAGGAGGAGGTGGAGCGGGAGAGGCAGCGAGGCAGTGAGGCAGTGAGGCTTATATGTATCAACCCCCTTGTCTTGCCCCTCCCAACCAGCCCTTCGATGCGGGAGCTCTCACCCAAGCCCGTAGTGTGGCAGTGGATGAAGGAAGGGCGCTCATCACACGGGAACGTGACGCAGCGGTGGCAGCAGCCAAGGAGGAGGTGGAGCGGGAGAGGCAGCGAGGCAGCAGTGAGGTACTGGTGGCTCAATCTCTAACCTCTCTCCTTCCACTCTCCCCTGTCCCGTCCTCCCACACAGCCTTTTGATGCGGGGGCACTCACACAGGCTCGTAGTGTAGCAGTGGACGAGGGGAGGGCGCTCATCACACGGGAACGTGATGCAGCGGTGGCAGCAGCCAAGGAGGAGGTGGAGCGGGAGAGGCAGCGAGCCATGGCCGTGCTCCGAGAGGAAGCTTCCCTGAAGGTGGCTCTGGAGCGGCGGCACCTGCAGGTGGATCCTCAGGTGGTGGCGCTGGTGAATCTGGAGGAGGTGGCCCGGCAGCAGGAGTTTCTCAACCGCTGGCGGGCGGCTCTGGAGCAGGAGAATGTGAGTGGGGGGATGGAGGGTACAGGTATGGGGATAGGAGGAGCAGGTGAGGGGGGAGGGGGGGTGCAGATGAGAGCATATGGGCTGGGATGGGAGGTGTTGGTGAATCTGGAGGAGGTGGCCCGGCAGCAGGAGTTTCTCAACCGCTGGCGGGCGGCACTCGAGCAGGAGAATGTGAGTGGGGGAACGGAGGGTACAGGTATGCGGATGGGAGGAGCAGATTAGAGAGGGGGGGGGGGGGGGGGCAGATGAGAGCATGTGGGCTGGTATGGGAGGTGGTGGTGCTGGTGTTTGTGAATGTGGAGGAGGTGGCTCGGCAGCAGGAGTTTCTCAACCGCTGGCGGGCGGCAGTGGAGCAGGAGAATGGGATGGAGGTGAGGGGGTGGGGGGTGGAGTGGAGGTGAGGGGGTGGGGAATGGGGAGTGGTGGTGGGGTGGTGGTGTGTGGGGTGCAAGCCGTACTCACTTCCGTTTACCTCACTTCCTTTACTTCTCCCTCCCTTTTCCCCTTCTTTCTCCGCCCCCAGCCGCAAGTCCTAGCGAGATGGAAGCCCGCGGCAAAGAGGAAGAGCAGCGAATTCTTGAGCTTGCAAACATGAAAGCATCAAGCCTTGCCCCCTCCCCCTCTCCCTCTTTCTCCCCTTTCTCTCCTCCCCCTAATCTGCTCCCAGCCGCAAGTCCTAGCGAGATGGAAGGCCGCGGCAACGGAGGAAGAGCAGCGAATGCTGGACCTCGCCCGGAGAGAAGCAGCAGCACGCGTGGAGCGAGTGGTAGAGCAGGAGGAGCGAAGAGAGCGGGAATCCACCCTCAAGGGAATCCGAGAGCGCGTGCGGGCGAAGCTAGGGGAAGAGGAACGGCGGATCGTTGCCCAGGAACGGGCGGAAATGGCTTCTCGTGTTGCCGAAGCTGTCGCGGAGGAGCGGGAGCGGCTCGTGGAGGCTCGGCGGAAGGAGGTGCTGGATCGGGCGGAGCGGGAGGCTGGGGAGGAGGCGGAGAGGAGGAGACAGGCTCGGTTGCTGGAGGCTTGGAGGAGAGTAGAGGCTGAGGTGGAGGGGGTGCAAGAGGAGGGGTGGGAAAGTGTGGTGGGGAGGGCGAGGGGAGTTGCAGAGGAGGCTGGGATTGCAATGGATGGAGAGAAGGGGAAGCTGCTAGAGATTGTGCGGTGGTCGCTGGAGGAGGAGAGGAAAGAGTTGATGTGAACAGAGAGTGGCTGAGGTGGTTGAAGCGTTAAAGGAGGAAGAGAGGGAGGTTGTAGCGCGGATGAAGAAGGAGAAGGGGTGAATGGGGAGCTGGTGGGTGCTGATGGGGTTGGAGGTGCTGTGAGCGCTGCTTTGAAGGCCCGGGCAGAGGAGGAAGCTGCTGCAAGCTGGAGAGGCTGAGGAAGGAGGCGGAGGAGAGAGTGAGGGAGCAGGTGAGAGGAGAGGAGGCTGCGTTGCTGGCTAGAAGGAGAGGGGAGATGGAGCAGAGGGCGGAAGCGCTGGGTAGAGGAGGGAAGGGCGCGGTGATTCAGCTAGAGAAGGATTTATTGGAAGGGGAGCTAGGGGAGAAGATTGCGTTGATGAGGAAAGAGGCGGAAGAGAGGGAGGTGCGGGAAAGGGAGAGGCTTAAAGCGAGTATAGAGAGGCGGCTAGAGGAGGCTGTGGAGGGGGAAGAGAGGGCAATGGAGGGTGTGGTGGAGGAGAGGAAGAAGGAGATGAGAGAGAGGGCTAGGAGGGCAGTGCAGGAGGAAGAGAAGAAGCTTCTAGAGGAGATGCGAGCGCAGGTTCGGAAGAAGGTGGAGGATAGGTTCGGTGCCGAGGCTGAGAGCTGGGCAGGTTCGGTGAGGGAGGAGTTGATGGAGCAGGCGAAGAGGGAGGTAGAGGAGGAGGTAGAGGAGTGGCGGAGGAAGGAGTTGGCTGGTGCTGGGGTGAAGGGGAGTGGGAGGAAGGGTAGGAAGAGAGGAGGGAAGAAGGGGAAGGTGGACGGGGGGAGAGGAGGAGGATGAGGATGGGGAGGAGGAGGAAGAGGAGGAGTTGGAAGAAGAGAGGGAGGTGAGGAGGCAAGAGATGATGGAGGAATTGGAAGAGGAGGTTGAGACAGAGAAGCAGAGGCGGTGGGAGGAGATGGAGGAGGAAACTTATCGGCCAATGGGAGGCCAAGAAAGAGGAGCGGCTTGCTGAGCTGGCGCGGAAAGTGGACGCTGACGTGGCAGAGGGGTATGAGAAGTTGAGAAGGGAGAAGGAGGAGGAGATTGAGAGGAAGATCTGGGAGCAGAAGGTTGCTGAGGTGGACGGGCAGATTGGAAAGTTGCTGGAGGAGGAACGGGCAGTTCGGCTCCAAGCTGCCCGGAAAGTCATGGATGCTTCGTTAAGAAAGCAAATCGCGAGTGAGAGGGAGGAGAGTCTGGGGCAGATGAGGAAGGAGTGGGATGAGATGGAACCAGAGCAGCAGGAGGCGTGGGTGGTGCAGCAGAGGGAGGAGAAGGGGCGGCGGATGGAAGAAGAGATGAAGAGGCGGGTAGAAGAGGAAGTGAGGGATTATAGAGAGAGAATGCTGGCGACAGTGGCGGCAGAGGAGACGGAGGTACGGTCGAGAGAGAGCAACAAGAGAGACCTGGTGAGGATCGAGCGGGAGTATAAGCGGCAGAGGCAGGAAATGGAACTGAGGGCGTCGCATGCTCTAGAGGCGTTTAGAACGGATCTGAGCGTGAGGCTGGAGAGAGAGAAGTTGAGACTAAGACGGGAAGCGAAGCATGCTTTAGAGAGGTATGAGATCGAGCTGGATATTAAGGTGGAGAAAAAGGTGGAGTCTATGAGGGTGGATCTGCAGATTAGGTTAGAGGCGATGCGGAGGGAGATGGAGGTGACTCTGAGGAAGAAGGTAGAGGAGGAGAGAGTGAGACGGCTGGAGATTCTGAGTCGCGAGTTGAAGGCGGAAGAGAGGGAGATGAGGCGAGGTTGGAGGGAGCTTATGGCGCAGGAGGAAGCCAAGGTGCGAAGGCGGTACGAGCAGAGGAGGAATCTGCTGAGTAATGCACTAGAGAGCGAGTCGAGTGGTGTGGAGGGGAGAGGGGGCGGTGTGGGGGGAGAGGATGGGAAGCAGCAGGGGAGGAGGGGAGCAAATCGGAACCCGCACCAGCAGGTTGGGTTCGGCGGGTTAGGTTCGGGCGGGGTGCGGGGGATGGGAGGGGGGATGGGGGGTGGCGGAGGAGGGATGTTTGGCGGGATGGGGAGTGGGATGGGGGGGATGGGGGGGGATGAGGTTGATGGATGGGAGTGGGGGAAGTGGAGGCGGATTCAGGCTTCTAGAGGTGGCTAATGAGAAGGTGGGTGGGGGCGGGGAGGGTATGGGAGGGAGAGGAGGAGCGGGAGGAGCGAGAGGGAGAGTGGGAGGCGGTGGAGGGATGGGAGGGATGGGAGGGGGCGTAGGGGGAATGGGTGGGGGTAATATGGGTGGGTCGTGGTTGGACGAGCTAAGGAGTGGCGGAGAATCAGATGTGAGTTTTGAGTCATGGGTTGAGTGCTAGCAGGGAGTTTGAACCAGGGACAGGGGAGGACAGAGGGAGGAGAGGCAGAGGGAAGGGGTTGCGGAGGAGAGGGGAGGGTGGGGACGGGGAAGAGGGAGAGGAGGAGGAGGAGGAAGAGGGAGAAGGGGAGGAGGAGGAAGAGGAGGGAGAGGGGTTGGATCTGGGCAGGGGCGAGGGGGGCTAGGGGGAATGGTGGAGGAGGGAGGGTCGATGTCTGAAGAGCCAGAGCAGCTGGAGGGACAGCACGACCGGCAGCAGCATCATCAGCAGCAGGAGAAACTCAACGCAGCAGGAGCATCAGGAGCAGCAGCAGCGGCAGCGGCAGCGGCGGCGGCAGGTGGGGCAGCGGCAGGAGGGGCTGCAGCAGGGGCAGGGGCAGGGACGGGGGCGGCTGGCAGCGGGTGGAGAGGTGGGTGTGAGTGCAGCGAGTGGGCTTGGGAGTGCTGAGCCGGATCGATCGGACGAGGCTGATAGCAAGAAGGATGTGGACTCACTCCCCCCAGAGGCCACAGGGGGAGGTGGTGCAGCATGGGGCGCAGGGGGGGAGCGGGGAGAGCGGGGGGAGAGGGGGGAGCGGGGGGAGGTTGGGGCGGATGGGGCTGGCGGGGTGGATGTCGGGGGGAGAGACGGAGGAGGAGGGGGGAAGGCGGGGGGAGAAGCAGCAGTGGCCGGCGCAGCAGGGGCAGGGGGGGAAGGGCAAGGAGTAGCAGCAGTAGGCTTGGGACCACACCCACTGGGATCTCCTGACGATTCGGGAAGCAACTTCGGGGAAAGTTCCTCGGAGCTCCCGAGGTTGACGTTGGGGGTGGCGGGCGGGGAGGGGGAGGGCGCGGGGCTGGCGGGGGATTGGATGGGGCGGGGGTGGGCGAAGCCGGGGCAGAGGCGGTCGAGGAATCGCAACAGCGGGAAGGCAGCACGACAGCCGAACGACGTCGCGGATTATTACTCCGAGTGGAGCGAGTCGGGGTCTGACCTGGTGAGCTCTTCAGTTCCTCTCAACCGTTCTCCACTCCACTCACATCCTCTCAACGCCTTCGCAACTCCCTCTGAACTCCTCTCTACCCCTCTCGACGCCTCTAAGTTCTGTCTGTTTCTGTTTGACCTGTATCTGTGTGCCTACAGGAGCTAGCGGATAGGGAGTTCAGGCCAGGGGGCGGCAGGAAGGGGTATGGACAACGGAGACGAGCTCTTCAGTCCCACCAACCCCTCTCAAGTCCTCTCAACACCTCTTAACTGCTTTTCACGTCCGTCTGTCTCTGTGTGACCTGTGCGCGTGTACGTCCCTACAGGAGCTAGCGGACAGGGAGTTCAGGCCCAGGGGGCGGCAGGAAGGGGATGGACAACGGAGACGAGCTCTTTGATGAGGAAGGCGTGCCCTTCAGGTGAGTCTTCAGGTGTTCTTCAGGTGCGTTGTCAGGTGCCCGTCAGGAGGGTTTTCAGATGCCCTTCAGGTGAGTTCTCAGGTGTTCTTCCGGTGGGTTGTCAGGTGTGCTCCATGTGACTTATCAGGTGTTTTTTGGCGAGTTAGTATACTTCAGGTGAGATTTCAGGTGCCTTTCAGGCGAGGCTACTTCTATGTGGAACGACAATCCTAAACGCCTGTCATTTGGAGTGTCTGCATATTAAACTGAATCTGCATTTGTTTCACACATCTTCCCCTCCCCCCCCTCTCCCTGTCCCCTCCCTTCCTCCCTCCCCATGCGTCAGGGAGCGCGCGTCCATGGTGGAGCAAGCAAAGATATTCGCAGCGGAGCAAGCAAAGATATTCGCAGCGGAGCAGCAGAAATACCTCAAGGAGCGCCAGGCTGTCTCAGAAGCTGTTCCATACTGCCCTGCTTGTATCCCCCTTGCACGGCACGACTGGCTGATTATCCCCCTACTGCCTGCCCTGCCCTGTTCTCGCCCTGTGGTGTGCTGTGCCCATCAGTGAGCGTGCATCCATGGTGGAGCAAGCAAAGCTACTTGCAGCGGAAGCAGCAGAAATACCTCAAAGAGCGCCAGGCAGTCTTCAGGGCCTGCCTGCTTGTATCCTGCTGATTACCCCCATATTCTGTCCTGTTCGCCCTCCCTTGCCCCACCAGTGAACGAGCATCCATGGTGGAGCAAGCAAAGCTGTTTGCAGCGGAGCAACAAAAGTATCTCAAGGAGCGCCAGGCTGTCATTGAAGCCGCCCGGCAGGACTGGCAGGGCCTTCCCTCCCCATACTGCCTTGTTTATGTCCTCCCTACCTCCCCTCATCTCATCCTGTGCTTCCCCCGTGCCCTCCCCTCCTCCCCATCTTCCCTTTTCCTCTTCCCCTTGTCCCCTTTCCCTCTCCCCCTGTGCCCCATCAGTGAACGAGCATCCATGGTGGAGCAAGCAAAGCTGTTAGCAGCGGAGCAACAAAAGTATCTCAAGTATTCTCGAGTTGACTCTCTACTCAATCCCCCTTCCCGCCCGGTCCCTCCCACCCACCCACCCCACATCCACCAGTGAACGAGCATCCATGGTGGAGCAAGCAAAGCTGTTTGCAGCGGAGCAGCAGAAATACCTCAAGGAGCGCCAGGCTGTCATCGAAGCCGCCCGGCAGGACTGGCAGCGCCAGATGGCTGCCGCCCAGGAGGTCTCAGATGAGGACGACAGACGCCGCCGCATCCAGCACCTGACGGATCTTAAAGCCACGTTGGACCAGCACGTTAGAGAGTTGAATGATGACGCCAGGCATGTTAGTCAACTCAAGAAGAATCTGCTAAGCTTTTCGAGGAATGGGGCGAATAGTGGGGCAGGGAGTGGGCCCGGTGCGGGGAGTGGTGGTGGGAGCGGGGATTTCGGGAGGGGAGGGAGGGGAGGGAGAGGGGAGGGAGGTAGGAGGGAGGGGGGAGTGGGAGGGAGGGGAGGCGCGGGCGGGAGAGGGGAGGGGGGCGTGGGGATTCCGCCCAGGTGCGGCGTGAGATTGGATCAGAATGGGCCGCTGTTGAACTTCCCGCCGGATGCGATTATGTCCCGAGCCTCGTCGTTTGCTTCGGCGAGCATGGGTCGGGAGAGCTTTGATATTGATGAGATGATGGGCGGGCTAGGGCTGGAAGGGCCCTGGTCCAGACCTAGCCCCCGAAGCAGCCTCGGAGGCACGGGGGACATGATGGGAGGAGGTTCGGGTGGAGGAGGAGTGGGGCCGGGCGCGAGAGGGGCTGGGATGGGGGGGGAGCAGGGGGGGGAAGTGCAGGCTGGGGATGGGAATGGGGATGGGGATGAGGGGCGGCAGTGGTGGTGCCAGCAGTAGTATGGGGGGAAGGGGATTCGGTTGGGGGGATGGGAGCAGGAATGGGTGGGGGGGGGATGGGTCGAGGAGGTGGGATGGGGGGAGGAGGGATGGGGGGAGGAGGGATGGGGGGGATGGGAATGGGGGGAGGTGGGATGGGGGGAGGGCTGGGGGGAGGGCTGGGGGGAGGGCTGGGGGGAGGGATGGGGGGAGGGCTTGGAGGCAGGGACTCGTGGTTTGATGAGGTGTACGGGTCTAGCTCTGCTGTTACATCGCCCACTCTCTCCCCGCCCGGCATTGCGGGCAGAAATATCTTCCAGGGGGAGTTTGACCTGGGGAGGGGAGTGGCGGAGGGGGGAGTGGCGGGGGGAGGATGGGGGGAGGAGGAATGGCAATGGGGGGAGGAGGAGGGATGGGAGGAGGGGGGGGGAGGAGAGGAACGGGGATGGAGGAGGGAGGGGCGAGGAGGGCCGGGGGAGGGGGAGGAGGAGGGGGAGGGGGAGGGGGGATGGAGGTGGAGGGCGGAGGAGCGGAGTTCAAGTTCGGGAATCTGCTGCCCGGCTCTCAAGCACAGCCCGATCCCCTGTGAGCCTCTCTCAAGCACAGCCCGATCCCCTGTGAGCCTCTCACTTTGCCCCCCTCTGATTGCTAAATGTGTCTCGGGGGAGTCGACTCAAAAGTCAATTTGCCCACCTCTTCTGAATCGACTCAAAGGTCACCTCGGGGGATGCTGTGCTGTGCTGTGCGCTCTTGCGATTGTAGCCCCCTTCCGCTATTTCTCTTGAGCCCGTACCCCTTGTGGCCAGTATTGTTGTGTTTTCACGCTCTACTTTCTCCCTTCTCCACCCCTTTCTACCGCTCTCTACACCTGCAGGCGCAGGAATAGGGAAGCGGCTCGAGCAGCAGGCAGTGGCAGCGGCGGCGGCGGTGGTGGTGGGGGGGGTGGGGGAGGGGTTGCTGGTGGTGGTGGTGGTGGGGGTGGTGGTGGTCTATTTTCTCTTGACGACTCACCCACAGCTCGTGACATGGACGGGCGGGGCGACTTGAGGCTGAAGGAAGGGTGGAGGGGAGGGTGGGTCGGGATATGGAGGGGAGGGAAGGGCGTGAGGTGGAGGGGCGAGGAGGGAGGGAGGCGGGCGGGAGAGCAACGGCGGCTGGGCATCGGTTGTCGAAGCTGCAAGACGAATCGGGTGTTGGGAGTGGCAGCGGCAGGGAGCAGGTGGGTGAAACACCGACTCAGGTGAGCAGGTGTTGGGAGTGGCAGCGGCAGGGAGGGAGCAGGTGGGTGAAACACCGACTCAGGTGAGCAGGTGTTGGGAGTGGCAGCGGCAGGGAGCAGGTGGGTGAAACACCGACTCAGGTGAGCAGGTGTTGGGAGTGGCAGCGGCAGGGAGCAGGTGGGTGAAACACCGACTCAGGTGAGCAGGTGTTGGGAGTGGCAGCGGCAGGGCAGGGAGCGGGTGGGTGAAACACCGACTCAGGTGAGCAGGTGTTGGGTGTGGCAGCGGCAGGGAGCAGGTGGGTGAAACACCGACTCAGGTGACCAGGTGTTGGGAGTGGCAGCGGCAGGGAGCAGGAGAGAGAGACATCGTATGTGTGTGTGCATTTGGGGGTGGGGGTGGGGGTGTGTGCGCGTGTGTGTGCTGCCTTGTACGGTATGTGTGTGTGTATGCTGCTGTGTATTTTCAGTCGTGTCTGTTACGCAGATAGGTGTGAGATTAGCTGCAGCGTGACCTCACGATTGGGTGGACAATCAATTAGGATTTCCCCACCCTCCTTCCTCCATTGTTTCAGGCGTCTCGGCAAAGAGGAGCGCACAGCAGCTCGGGTCAGCATCAGCAGGGCCGCCGCTCCTCGATGGATGGATGAGCTCTTAGAACAGACACCTCGAGTCAACTAACACCACCAACACTCGAATGTTTTCTAGAGAGCCCTTTGGAATGCCGTTGTTTTCCTCAACACAATTATTTGTTCATTTACCTTTACAGCATTGCTCGGCCAAGTAGCCCGCAATGGCTTCTAATTATGGATGTAAGTGCTTGCCATTGTTGCCTGTATGGGAAATCAGCCTTTTATTATGTGTAATTCTGTAAGAATAAGTGTAATTGTAGCTCGCTGTTCCCGCGTTTATCAAAGCATGGCCGGACCTTTCGAAACTGCACACGAGCCAAAAAAACGAGCGTCCAGGCGCTGCGAAAGTGGGGTCTGTCACCACCGGCTTCGCGGGCTTTCGAGAAACGGCACGGGTGTCTCATCTTCGACTTAGCATGCGTAAGGGGGAAGTGCCCATCAATCCCGCGCAGCCAATGGTACATTCTGCTCGCATGTGCGATTCGCATTCCCAATTCGGCGACTCGAAATTTCTCTCAACTCCCGCGCACCGCCTGGTCGCACATCAAATTTTTGAATGCGCCTGACGATGAGTCGACATGACATGCGCTGCTCTCTCCCTCACCCGCTTCTAGTCATCTAATCTATTTGAATATCAGCTCCACCAAATGAACAATAGCGCATTTATCTCAATCCACGCGAAGCATCTTGGACTCGGTTCTTCATTTCAGGCCTTCACGATTTTTTGGGTCAATCAAGCTGTTACTCATTTTAAACTATGGCGACCACACCTCTCTCCCCGTCGGCCTTTCTTGGCGTGCAGCTTAGCTCGCGACTTCCCGCAGCATGTGACACGACAGGCGACAGCTCTCTCTCAGGCAGCAGTGCTGCTAGGACCGCCAGCACGACGACGATGGCGGTAATGGGCCCCCTCGTGGCCGCATTCCGATTCGTCGTCTGACTCGTCGCAACACTGGCTGGCGAACCCTAGCGACTCGCAGAACGTACCCCCGGCGACGCCCGATTTTCATCGCCCTCATCGCTCGCTCGCCTCCCCGCCAAACGCGGCCAGCGCTCCTGCTGAGGCTGACGTGGCTGGTTCCCTTCGGGCGAACCGGCTTTTGAGGATTCCGCCAGTCGCGCCGCAACGCACGCTTCCCGGCCTAACACTCACCCCTAAGAAGACGAATAAGAAAGCCCTGGTTCACCGCGGGCCGGATGGGTCAGTCCCAGTGCAGATTAACGCGGGAAAGGCGCCGGTATTCACGGCAGATAAGGCGCGGAAGTTGCGGGAGATGCTGAAGGAATCGGAGACGCATCACGACACGATGTACCACTCGGGTATCGCATCGAGACTCGCGCAATAGTCTTTACTCGCGCAATTGTCCCGACTGGCAGACGGTCTTGCAAGTGATTGCAGCGATGCTAGCAGTGCACCCGGGATATGCAATCAGAGATTTCCCAACGGCCTCATTCGCCAGTATTGACATCGACACTCCGAACAAGCAGCCTGCTCCCTGTCTGGTGGAGTCCGGCTTCCGGCCTGCTCATTCGGCCAGACAGACCCGCTCGATGGCATTCACATGTTTAATTCATCATGATTCGACGAACCTATGCGGTTGACTGCGGTCAGTGCGGTGGTTCACCCTAACTCGGACTAACCACCAGATGTGGCTGGTGGATAATTTTGCACCCTGTATTGTTCAGCCAAACACCCAATTTTGCCCTGATTGGGGTTAATTATATTATGTTGTATTGCGGTACACCATTATACTGGATATACAGCATGTCGTGGCCTTGTTTTCTCCCAGCAGAACAGAGAAAGAAATGTAGTGAGTTAGTGAAATGTCGAGTGAAACATATATTTTGAAGAGCTACACCGCAAACTTAGTGGGAGGCTGGGACATGCGAGCCGTTTATTAACGAATACACCCGGAAACACCCGCAGAAGGCTCGCGCATTCGACATTTCCAGCGAAGGTACGACCCTGCCATGTCACCTCTCTCCATCTGCTCCCAGCTCAGCACACACCCTACACACATCCCACAAACCAATTTTCCTGCTCCTCAATCTGTCACATCCGTCCGTCCATTGGCTCGTGGTTGAATGCCATCTCCCCATCGACTCGCGCCACGCCAATTGGTAAAAGAAGTTCCGACAGGGCAGACGGAACGGAAACCATTCTACTGAGTGGGTGTTGGGAAACTTACGCAAGCAGCTAGTGTCTTAGGTTGGTGCGAGCCTCGCACGACGCCGTGGCGGCTAACACAACGCCGTCGTGACTACTTGCGCTGTACTCTGCGGAATCCGCGACGATTCGGTGAGGCGACGATTCACCAACCCTCCGAGTACTCCGGACCGAGTTCGTTTCACCCTTCTACAGCATGGCGGCGTTTGCGCAAGACGCGGCGGCGTCAGTCGCGGCGGCGGGTGCGGCTCCATCTACCGGGTCAGGATCTCTCTCATCGCTCCAAATTCTAACCTAAACACGTGACGCATGCACACCCACGCGTCTGCAGTCACGCACACCGACGTGGCGTCCCGTCTCCTCGTTTTTCCCCGTTCCCAGTTTTTCTGATTCCCCGTTCTCCGTTTCTCCGTTTCACCATTCGCGCTTGTGTACCCACGAAAGCAGGGCAGAGGCCATTCAACCCGCGCGTCGGTTCTCCAAGGCGCCTGACTACTCGCTCGTCACACCCATCCTCTACGCGCCTCTCTTCCCACTAAGTACTTTCTTGCCACCCCTCCTTCTCGAGCTTGACCCGAACATCCCGCACAGCCCGCACAGCCCGCACAGCCCGCCTCCACTTAATTCCTGTTCTCCCGGAGTCTCTGCATCCCCCCGCGCCATACGCCAAATCGCAGATTCCGTCAGCAAGAAGGTTCGTTCATTTGCTGCTCGCGCTCCGTCTCTCATGCGCCGCCCTCCCGCCTCCCACTGACTCCCCCTGTCTTTCCCCTCGGCGCTGTTCCTCCCGCCTCCCCGGCAGTATGGTACGCATCGCATTACTTTGCGCCACAAGCCCAAGCTGAGGCAGTTTTCGACGCGCATAAAAAATCCCCTCCCCCCACCCCCCCCCCCCCCCCCCCCCCCCCCCCCCCCCCCCCCCCCCCCCCCCCCTGTCTTTCCTCACGGCCCTGCTTCTCCCGCCTCCCTCCCGCAGTACGCATCACGTTGCGCCACAAGCCCAAGCTGAGGGACCGACTCTTCGTGACTGCTGTGGCCAGCGCGTTCCTGCACGGCGCTTACATGAAGTACGTGGGGTTGTTATGGTGTTGGGGGTGTGGTATAGTGTGGTTGAGTAAGGTCTGATGGTGTTGGGTGTGGTATAGTGTGGCTGAGTAAGGTGTGATGGTGTTGGGTGCGGTGGGGTGGTATTCGGTACGAATCACGCTGCGCCACAAGCCCAAGCTGAGGGACCGTCTCTTCGTGACTGCTGTGGCCAGCGCGTTCCTGCACGGCGCTTACATGAAGTACGCGGTGGTGGGATGGGGTTGGGTGCAGTGCATTGGTGTTTGGTGCGGTGCAATGGTGTTGGATAGGGTGAGATGGTGTTGGGGGCGGTACAATGGTGGTGGGTATTGGGTGCGGTGCGATGGTGGTGGGTGTTGGGTGCTGGGCATTGGCTGCAGGTGTTGAGTCCTGCAGTCAAGAATTGCTAATGCTCCATACATTGGATTTGTGGTCGCAAGTTGAATTCACTATAACACCTGTTGTGTCCATCCTCCCCGTGCCCTTTCCCACGTCCACTCTCCCTCCAGCTACCGATTCTATAATGCAGAGAGCTATCAACAATCACAAAGAACCTAAGAACTGGCGTCGCTCAAGTATGCACACATCCGGGCTTTTGGTCTACTTATGTGATGGAAGGGCTCAAGAGAGAAAGCACATAACAGCATCGACCGTTACCATTACCTTATGTATTTGAGGCTTGGGAGGGACTACATGCAGCCAGCCATTAGTGTACTGATTTTAGCCAGCCCTTCTTTCGGCCAAAGAAGTTTTCATTGGTGCTTCTCTATACATGGAATGATTACATATGATACATGGATTGCATGCATTACAGTCCCGTTGCCTACAATTGACGCACTATATAGCTTAGCTTATAATATGTGGGAGGCAAATATATATTTACTATCGTACTCACTATAGCAGCCTTCAGAAGATTCACCAACGTGTTGATTGGCTCCCGTTGTAAGAACTAGCAACTGGGGAGCTCTTTGGATCGAAACAGCTACCCAAGTCATGCAGGCTGCTGCAGCGGCTCCAGTTCGTGCAGCTGTCAAACTACTCCCGCTACAGTCACTCCGCATCTCCCCCTCCATCTCGCCCACGAAATTCCACCACCCAGCAACATCCCCCACCCCGTTCGTCGTGGGAAAGAAAACCCTGGCTTCTGCTAACCCGTCGCGTTCCCCTGCGTATCCCGCGCCTCCTGCTTCTTGCGCCTCCGAAAACCCAAACGGCAAACGTTCGCGCCGCATTCCCCGCTCCCTGATTTCCATAGGCTCAGCAG